TGGAAAATATGGCCTTGGTGATAGAAATGATGCTGGAGAACGCATGATAGAATTCTGCAAAATCAATGATTTGTTATTTTCAGATGACTTCTTTAGACAGCATAGAGACAATTATACACATGGACCTCACCAGATGGAATACATAGAAATTAAATTGACTACATCTGCAGAAAGAGACGATGGAAAAGCTCCATAACACCAGTGAAAACAAGGCCAGGGGCAGACTGTGGTACAGACCATCAATTACTCATATGCAAATTCAAACTGAAGCTGAAGAAAATGAAAACAAGTCCATAAGAGCCAAAATATGACCTTGAATATATCCCACCTGAATTTAGAATTTATCTGAAGAACAGATTTGATGCATTAAACACTGAAGACCAGAAGAGTTGTGGGATGACATCAAGAACATCATACATGAAGAAAGCAAAAAGTCATTAAGACTGGGATACCTTAAAGGGGTTCTACAACTTGTCCAGTGAAATAGGCCTCATGCAAAGCCTTTACAGAGTGTAGGACCTTAGGTGGAATCCTGAGTCCCATCCAGAATCTTATGAGGTGGGAAATTCCCACTAGAAAGGACAAGCAGACTGGAACAGCTACAGTGACAGAAGATCCCAAAACAAAAATGCCAGCATGACTGGCTACTACAAGAATAAGCAAGCTGTTCGTCAGGAAGACATCAAGGCTAGCAATCAAGTGCTTTCAGGACAAACTTCCCTCTAAGACTGAAACTCAAAGGGAATACACAAACAAGCATGTAGCTTGCTGGTGACAACATTGGTCTACTGGTGAGTGGAAAAGGCAGAAAGGAAGCAATGAAGAAATGGGCTGAGTTCAACCCCAGTCCATTGAATCCCATTGATCTGGAGATGAGAGAGAGAAGAGGAAGGGCTGGTTGGTCCAAAGAGTGGTGAGACCTGAGGACACTTGAGCCCATGGACAAGGACTTAGCCACAGGGGGCTAGAGCTGAGAGTGAAGCATCCAGCTGATATGAAGTGAGGGGAGATCCACAAGAACACCCAAACTTGCATACAGTCCCCTTTTGACCTAGCCTCAATGGCTCGATAATCAGAACTCAACTAGGAAGATTGAAAAAAAAAAAAATCATTAAGAAGACAAGAAAGAAAGAAAAGGTCAAAATGGATGTCAGAAGAGACACTGAAACTTGCTCTCCAGCATAGAGATGCTAAAGCAAATGGAAGAAATGAGGAGTTACAAGAGCTGAACAGAAAATTACAAAGATCAGCTCGAGAAGATAAAGCCAAATATTACAACAAAATGTACAAAGATCTGGAATCAGGAAACCAAAAAGGAAGAACATGCTCAGCATTTCTCAAGTTGGGGGAACTGAAGAAAAAATTCATGCTAAGCATGTCTCAAGCTGAAGGAACTGAAGAACACTAAATTGTGCTCTTGAGAAATCTGTACCTGGACCAAGAGGCAGTTGTTCAAACAGAACATGGGAACACTGAATGGTTTAAAGACTTTCGTTATTGAAAGACTCTCTGGGCAAATTATTGAATGATGCAGAAAGCATGAAGAGAAGATGGAAGGAATATACAGAGGCACTGTACCAAAAGGAAATGGTTAATATTCAACCAATTCAAGAGTTAGCATATGATCAAGAGCCAATGATACTGAAGGAGGAAGTCCAAGGTGCATTGAAGGGATTGGCAAAGAACAAGGCACCAGGAATTGATGGAATAAAAATTGAAATCTTTCAAGAAAGTGAGGCGGCACAAGAGGCACTCACTCATCTCTGCCAAGAAATTTGGGAGATAACTATCTGGCCAACTGATTGAAAGAGACCCGTATTTGTACCCATTCCCTAGAGGTGACCCAATGGAATGTGGAAATCATCAATCTCTTTGATATCTCCTGTGAGTAAAGTTTTACTAAAGGTAATACGGAAATGGCTTCAAGCATACATTGACAGAGAACTTTCGGAGGTTCAAGCTGGATTCAGAAGAGGTCGTGGAACAAGAGATACCATTGCTGATATCTGATGGATCTTGGTTGAAAGCAGAGAATATCAGAAAGATGTTTACCTGTGCTTTATTGACTATGCAAAAGCTTTTGATTGTGTGGCTCATGGCAAGCTATGGACTACATAGCAAAGTATAAGTATTCTGGAACACTTAATTGTGCTCATGAGGAATCTGTACATGGATCAAGAGGCAGTTGTTCAAACAGAACATGGGAACACTGAATGGTTTAAAATTAAGAAAGGTGTGTGACAAGGTTGTATTCTTTCATCATACTTAGTCAACCTGTATGCTGAGCAAATAATCTGAGAAGCTGAGTTCTATGAAGAAAACCATGGCATCAGGACTAGAGTTTTAGTTGTTGATTCTTTGGAAGTAGGTCACCAGGGCTTTATTCCAAGGTACCTCTAAGTGTACTGGAACCTCCAACTTTTGTTTAGCAGCAGCACATTAACTGTTAGCACCACCTCAGAACTCCGGAAATTGTTTGAAAGCTCTGGTTTTCCTAGCAGGCCAAGTGGCTTGCATCAAGCTTGATGAACTAAGCAGTGAAACCAGTTTATCAACTGTATTCAAGCCAGTCATTGTCACTGGGTAACCTGGCCAGATAGCCTTTATAGTCTCCTGATAATTTTGGGAACAGTTACCTAATACCACAAGTTGCTAATTCCTCTCCCATCCCAGTTGCTTAAGTCTCTTTGCTTTTTACCTGTTTTTATTCGTCCATCTCTGCTTATGACTCCTCCGGGCTCAACACTGATGACATAGATGGGCAAATCCCATTCCCTGTGTGACGCTCCCCCGGCCACGGTCATGCCGAGAGACTCGCTGGGCTCTTTTCGGACACTTACCACCTTCTCATGACAAGTGACTGAAGAGTGGGGGCACTGAAAGCAAAGACAGAAAAAGAAAACATGGTGGATTTGTTCACAAGGGGGTTTGCTTTCTACATGCAAACAACAACCCCGAGTGCACACATATACAACAGTGGAGTCTTTAGTATCAGAGAAAGACAAAGGCAGAGTCCCATCTCTTCCCTCATCCCAAAAAGAGTTACATGATCTCAAACTGAGTCAGAGAAAATTTACATTTCCAATGGGACCAGCAGAACTGGAGGGAGGAATAAGTTGGCGACCATTGGAGAAATATTAAGCAAACAAAGTGAACCACACCCAAAGGTTTTTCAAGTGAGTCATTTATTCCTGAAAGGGGTGAGTCCATATTTCATAAGATTCTTGTCACTCATGAATATCAGGAATTTTTCTAAGTTAAAAAAAAATAAACCATGTTTGTATTAAATATTCTCATTTTAATTTATGGGTAGCCAATTTGTAGAACTCAAAGAAAAATAGTAATCAATTTCATAATCATGTGAACTGAAGAAGGGGAAACTGCATGGTTTAATATCATCTTAAATTAAACAGAAGAAGCATGGGTAGCACTGTGGGATAAGCACTGGACTGCTAACATCAAAGTTGGCAGTTTAAACCTACTAGTCACTCAGAGGAAGAAAGATGAGGCTTTCTGTCCCCGTAAAATTTATAGCTCAAGAAACCCTATACAGGGTCTCTATGAGTCAAAATAAACTCTAGGCAGGGGCATGGTTTTTGGTTTTGGTTAATTAAGAGGTTTGCACCAGGGTTATAGCCTATCACCACACTAATTCAGTCTGTCTGCTGAACAAGTAATCCACGAATTTGGACTAGATGAAGAAGAACATGGAGGAAGAGTCATTAACAATATGTAGATGACACAACCTTGTTTGTGGAAAGTAAAGAGGACTTGAAACACTTACTGATGAAGAACAAAGAATATGGCCTCTAGTATGGATTCCACTTAAATATAAAGAAAAAAAAATCCTTACAACTGGGTCAATATGCAACATCATGATAAATGGAGTATAGATTGAAGTTGTCAAGGATTTAATTTCACTTGGATCCACAATCAATGCCCATGGAAGCAGCAGTTGAGACATGAAATGACATATTGCATTGGACAAATCTGCTGCAAAAGACTGTCTTTAAAATGCTAAAAAACAAAGACGTCAGTTTAAGGACTAAGGTGTGCCTGACTCAAGCCATGGTATTTTCAATAACCTCATATGAAAGTTGGACTATGAATAAGGTTCACCATAGAACTGATGCCTTTGGATTATGGTGTTGGCAAAGAAGACTGAGTATATCATGGACTGACAGAAGAACAAACAAATCTGTCCTGGAACAAGTAGACCCAGAATGCTCCTTAGAAGGGAGGATGGCGAGACTTTGTCTCACACACTTTGGACGTGTTATTAGGAGAGATCTATTGCTGGAGATTGAAAGAACCAACAGATCTGTGTTGGAAGAAGTGCAGCCAGAGTGCTCCTTGGAGGCCAGGATGGCCAAACTTCGTCTCTCATACTTTGGACATATTGTCCGGAGGGACCAGTCACTGGAGAAGGATATCATGTTTGGTAAGGTGGAGAGGGTCAGAGAAAAAGAGGAAGACCCCCAACGAGATGGATTGGTCAAGTGGTGGCATCGATAGACTCAAGCGTGGCAACAATAGTGAGGTTGGTCCAGGATCGGGCAGTGTTTCATTCTGCTGTGCATAAGGTCACTGTGGGTCAGTACCAACTTGATGGCACCTAACAACAACAACAATCCCTAGAGAAGAACATCATGCTTGGTAAGGTACAGTGTCATCAAAAACCAATACTATTCTCAATGAGATGGACTAACACAGTCACTGAAACTCAATGGGCTCAAACAGTAATGACGGTGAGGATAGTGCAGGACTGGACACTGTTTCATTCTGTTGTACATGGGACTACAATGATTCAGAATCGACTCAAGGACACCTAACAACAATACAAGACTCTTATTTTGGATTCAGCAAGGTTTGTGTTGCTTAGACATCCCTCCAATGGAGAGGTTATCATAGTCTAGGAGGATACTATGATCAATTGGCATAACATAGTCCACATGTACAGTGTTCTACATCCTACTTCAGTGAGTAGTGACTTAGATCTTCAAAGTTCATGCAACTATCGGTCTCTCCCTGTGAAAAGGAAAGAAGAGTAATGAAAATTGAAGATGCCTGGAAACAATTCGTCCAATGGACTAATTAAGAACATGTGAACATCAGTCTCTACAACCCTGAGACCAGAAAACTTAGATGGTGCCTGGCTACCACTACCACCAGCTGCTCTGAAAGGGACCACGTTACATGTTCTTGTTTAGAGTGGGAGATGATGTGGAACAAAAATCAAAATTATACAAAAGTCTAGGCTTACTGTCAGAAAGAGACTGGAGAAACATGAGACTTGGTCATTCTTGGCACTGAAATTGACTCTAATGGATCAATTTTCAGCCAAGCTATTGACAGGCAGGAGTCCTGGTGTGGCACTGTAGAATAAATACTAGACTGCTACCGCAAGGCCAGCAGTTTAAACCCACCAGCTGTTCACTGGAAAACCTACAGGGTCGCTGTGAGTTCCAACTAACTTGATGACACTTAATACCAATAATTCATGAGTATTTAGGGACGACAACAATACCAGTGAGGTATGCACACCATAGAATGGTCAACCATCCAAGATCAGCAGGGCAGCATTTACCTATGGGCAGAATTCAGAAGGGTTGGGAAAGGAGGAGGAATGGAAACAAGAATCGTAGGGAGGAAGTGGGATAAGTAACGTTACACTGAATGGACTACAATCATTGAAATTAAATGAAGTCTATGATTTGTTGAGTGTAAAACTGATGATCTGCTCTGTAAACTTTCACTTAGCTCACAATAACAGTTAAAAAACAAAACAAAACAAATGGAGAGGTCAAGAAGGCGCTTCTAAAAGAAGCCACAGGAAGAAATAGAAATTTGGGCTGAGTCACCCCATTTAAAGAGAGGCCATAAAGTGTTGACCTTCTGGGTGGATTGAGCTCTGAGAAGAATTCTGCTCTATCCACAGTGTTTTCTGGACTTGAAATCCTTAAACTGAGACATGTACGCTCTGGTTTGCCCCAGTCCTCAGCACTGTCTAATACTAGGGTTTAAATGATCTTTTGGGTGCCCCCTAGTGATTTGATTTTGCGACTTCTTCAAAAACAAACAAAAAACAGCCAGGGAATGACGGTTAATTTTCCAAAACCAAAGGCCAGGCAATCCTCTTGATTCATTTCATAGAGAATGAAAAACAGTCCATAACGAAAACAACTCTTTGAAAACTGGACATCTATTTGGGTTACACTAGAAATTAGGTTCCCATACACCGGCTGTAAGATCAAGTTTCAAAACTCTCCCTTCTTTCTCCTGCCTGGATGGGAGACGCCTGTCTCCTCACCAGTTCATGAAGATGGAACTTGGCGCTTTTAGTTTTAGAAGACAAATCAAATTGTGATGAAGTCCAGAGAAAATGCTTAGAAATGTCAAAGTATGCAGTCTCCCGGATCAACAGTTCCCTGCAGAAGCAGATAACATGGTCTTGGTGTGGTCTCACCTTGTGAGTGCGGTTCCTTTCTCCAGGCCCTGGGGAGCAGCTGCCATTGCTGTTCCAGCCCACTTCCTGGAAGATGTCAGGGCTCTGCTGCTGAACCTGGCGGGACACGATGAGGTGGACGCGCCTGTCACTGGCCTGCGTGATAAAACACAGTTGTTAGCCACCGTTGCTGTTCCTTTCTACCCATCATGAAGATGTGAGCTTGTTTTTACCTTTTTTTAAAATGGATAAACATGGCTCCTAGTATTTTTTATGTTACTGGTCAGTTTTTAATTTGCTAAAAGCATGAGAAGCATTTCATTCTCTATCAGGATTATACCCAACAAGCTAAGTAAGCAGGGGCTTAGTTATGCTTACTTATGAATCTGTAGTGAACAATTTCACATGTTTTCACTATATTAAAGATTCTGCCTCTAGGTATAGGCTTGTATCTATGTCTCTCCCAATTCCATGGCACCTTTCTATTGAATCAAAGTCACTTCAGATTTACAATCTGAAGGATGGTGTACCTTGCAAGCAAGGTAAGCATGGACTCACTTTTCATATAGATTAGTAAGTAATCACAAGTAAGCCCATACTTACCTTGCTTATTTGGTAATCCATCCCTGGTTTCCATTTTTCTTAATTAAATCAGGTCGTGAACATTACTCCATGGGGAAAAATGAGGAGACGGCTAACTCATGGAACATTCTTTGAAAAGACACCCTCAGATATTGCTAATTTATTTTTAATTACTGGCTCCACTTCAAACAAATTATGTCTGAAGAGCTTTCTGGGTTGGCCAGAGCATACAGAGTAAAGTAGTATCCCAGCTCCAATGGTCTAGGGCCAAGCAAGGACCAGTAGTCACTGAAAAGTAACACTGAGAATGATGAATGTAATTAGCACGTGTAAAATGACTGAAATGACAAATATTCTGTTACATATATTTTACTACGATAAAATATTTTTTTTGTAAAAAATGAATTTAGAAACATATTCATTTCAGAAATGAACAAGGAACTTTGTGTGTGTCACTAAATATCACAGAACTCTTGAAACTGAAGATCACAGGTGGGAATTAAAAATAACACCAGTGTTCCATTAACCAATCAGGATAATGAGACCCAAAGGAGAAATCCATGAGAGACAAGGCCAGAAAGTTACCCTGTGAGTCTGAAATGAACAGATACCTTTGTAAAACCCTTATCAGATCATGTTACTCTTCTGATCCCAACTAAACAGCGACTTCTCCATTCTGAAAGAAGTTCTAATCTTTACCATGGCCTATGAAGACCCTGTCCACCTCTCCCGCTTAGACTTCAACTATGCTCCCACACTTTGCTCACACTGGTCTTATTACGCTTCCTTGAACAAACGCAGCTTGTTCGTACCTCAGGACCTTTGCACTTGCCATTTACTCATCTGGAATGTCCTTCCAGTGTAGTTTATGAAAACAGCTTCCTCTTACTACCCTGTCTAAGGTAGTATCTCCTTTCCAAAACATCACCACATCATCATGTTTACTTTCTTCATAGCACCTACTAAATGATTTTTTATGTTTGTATACTTGTTATGGTGTCTCCCATTAGAAGATGAGCACCTTACAGATAAGGACCTCTACTTATATATATTAAACACTGAAGATCGAAGAGCAGAAAGAAGACTTGTGGGATGACATCAAGAACATCATACATGAAGAAAGCAAAAACTCATTGAGAAGACAAGAAAGAAGGAAAAGGTCAAAATGGATGTCAGAAGAGACACTGAAAGTTGCTCTCCAGTGTAGAGATGCTAAAGCAATTGGGAGAAATAAGGAGGTACAAGAGCTGAACAGAAAATTTCTAAAGTCAGCTCGAGAAGACAAAGTCAAATATTGCAACAAAATGTGCAAAGATCTGGAGTCAGAAAACCAAAATGGAAGAACATGCTCAGCATTTCTCAAGCTGGGGGAACTGAAGAAATAATTCAAGCCTTGACTTTCATTATTGAAGGATTCTCTGGGCAAATTATTGAATGATGCAGAA